GATAAACTGAATAACAGTCATTTTTAAACGCTATTTTTCTACTACTACTACTCATAATAATTTTTATTTATAGTACACTTTTTTCAAACCCAAAGCACTATAAGCAAAATTGGCATTGAATATTAAAACACATTACATTTCATTAATTATTCCTATATTATATAATTATTATGCCTATAGTCAATTAAATTCAAGTTTATACAAGTCAATACATCATTCACAATAATATTACTATATACATATTATGTCACACAATAGTGAAATATCATTTAACACAATAATTGATTATTATTATATATAGTAAAAATTTAAGAGCCTCCAAAAAAAATCACTGGTAAAATATGCACTTTGCAAAAACTGGTAACACTCTACTTCGATAATCCACATTCTGCAGACTACTTGTCAACTAGCATTAATTCGAGTATCAGTAGACTATCTGCTTAATATCTGCTAACACTTTATATTGATTTCCCCCAACAGACATTCTAATGACGTTCCAAACGTATAGGAGCCTCGGGTTCGAGTCTCCACCAATGACAGCAAGCCAAGTTTGTTTACCATTAATTATTAAGACTGGATGGGAAATCAATCATTTACATTTACATTTAATCATTTAAAGTTCAAATTCAAATTGCAATTCTACATTTTTTGAATCCTTGAATTTAATTCAAATTGTGTGTGTGTGTGTGTGTGTGTGTGTGTATTAATGGCAGAACAAATTTATACTTCTGTTCATTGTTTGGAAATAAAATGTGACTGAAAAAAGAAGCAGTTAATCCAAAAAAAGAAAATTCTGCTATCATTTACTCATTCAGTCATGAGTGTGAGTGACAGAAATTAAATTTTTGGGTGAACTCTTCCTTTAAACAATAAAATTTCAGTGTCTTGAAATAAATCTGAATAAATCCACTTTCATATTTTATTAGGCTGATATACTGGAGTCTTGGATAAAGTTGGCATTGATGCAGGTCGACTATATTGTGTACCAAATGCTGCTTTGATAGTTCAGATCCAAGGCATAGTTCCTCAACACGAGACCTGCTCTCTCGTCATGATCAAACTGCAGGAAATGAGCCACAGTAGGATGTGGGCCAAGACATGACCCAAATTCTGAGGGCTTTTGAGCTGCTTTGTGGGGCCCTCAGAGGCCAGAGACCCTTCAATGCCCCCTTCTATCACCCCAATCCCTGCAAAAGCCCTGATCAAAGCCTTGCCTTACCCTGCTCACCGTCACAGAGTGCCCCAACATAAACAGGAAAGCCGGCTAATGTGAAAACACTGCATCATTTTCCATTTTTCTCACTGAAGGATGGCTGTTCTATTATAAACACCCATGTAGGGTCTCGTTGGAGGACAATACCCAAACTTTAGCAGGTCAACTTCGCATATGGTCTGACGTAACAACAATGTCACCTCAACTGTGTATTGATATTGTAACACTAAGATGCTGATAGTGCCTCTTGATTGCTTTATTTAAAGGAACAGTTCAAGATCGCAGTTTTAACAAGAAGTCTTGAGACATATGCATGTTTACATTCCTCCTCCACAGGCCGTGCACGAGTTAGCGCGCCGACGACATCCCAAAGAGAGCGAGAACAGGAGAGTCAGAAGAGTAGAAACGTGACTTTGGCATCTGCTGTTGATCAGGTTTCCAGTAATAGGACCAGAACTACCGTTTAATTTCTTCATCATAACACAGACCACCAAAAGCAAGAGGAGTGGAAAGAGATCGGCCTAAATCCGCAAATGATTTGGCTGCCTTACCATAAACAGTCAACTTAAAGTCAAACCCAATTGTGGGTAAAACACGAGCATATAGCATCATATCAAAGATGTTGATCGCATTTTCTACGGTAATCTGAGCAACCGACCTTAGCAGAACAAACCCGGACATGTGCTTCACGCCAGTGTGACAGCGTCTGGCTGCGACTCTTTGTGTCTGCAATGTGTTCGGATATAACTGTCTGTGATGGCTCTTGGCTGAACATTTCTGGAGCGATCTTGCATACACAGTAACAAAAAAGAACTAAAATAATCCACATAATCATTTGCAAAAATTGCAATGCAGACATCCATGTAGAGATTGAACAGATGTTGATATCTCACGCGGTCACTGGCGGCTTACATAACAGTCTGTAATGAGAGTTCTGATCTGTGACGGGTTCAGACGCCACATGAAATTGCGTTTTGGTTTCTTTGAATATAGTTTATACCTTTCCATTGGTTTTGCATCTTGAATTTCATTAATTGTGACTGTTGGTCTATATTAAGAATGGATATTGGTCATTTTTTCTACTCAAAATGATACAACGTGAACAGATCCAAAACCTTCACTAGTGACTAACCTGATGTGAATGTCAGCAGACGGTGGGGAAAAAATTTATTAATTAATTCCCTACAGCGCACATACGTTTAAACGTGTGCTTGACGTGTGAGAACAACATGAGAGTGAGTTAACAAAATTTTTTTGGATGAGCTGACTTTAGTGAATAGTCATTGACTGGATGGGAAATCAATCATTTACATTTACATTTAATCATTTAGCAGACGCTTTTATCCAAAGCGACTTCCAAATGAGAACAATAGAAGCAATCAGACCAACGAGAGAATAACAGTATACAAGCGCCATGACAAGTCTCAGTTAGTCTAGCACAGTACACATAGCTTTTATTAAATAATAGAAATGAAAAGAACAGAATAGAATATGCTAGTATTAGTTGGTCAGGTGCTGGCGAAAAAAATGTGTCTTTAGATGTTTTTTGAAAATGGCTAAAGACTCAGCTGTTCGAATTGAGATCAGGAGGTCATTCCACCAGCTGGGCACAGTCCAGGAGAGTGATTTTGTGCCTCTTTGGGATAGCATCACAAGGCGCCGTTCACTTGCAGAACGCAAGCTTCTGGAGGGCGCATAAGTTTGAACTAGCGAGTTTAGGTATATAGGTGCAGCGCCAGTGGTGGTCTTGTAGGCAAGCATCAGTACCTTGAATTTGATGCGAGCGGCTACTGGTAGCCAGTGTAACCTGATGAGGAGAGGAGTCCAATCATAGTGTTAGTACTGTCAAATTAGACTCTCAGATGATCCACGTCTACCTATAGGAATATGACACCTATCACGGCATCCCTATATGGTCTATTCAGTATTATTCAGCAGCTTTATCGCTTTGCTCAGGAGCTAATTACCCTCCTCCATCCTCAGCTCCTCCTTCCATCCACAGTCAGGACTTGGCTTTATTCTTCTAAATTGCCATTAAAGGCACAATATGTAAGTTTTCGCCGCTAGAGGGCATGTATTCAAAACAAACAAAGAAACAAAGGCGTAGTTTGATGACGCCATGACTGAGTGGAATCATGGGAGTTGTCGTCTTCATCCCCACAGCCGATGCAATGCAGTGACTCATGCAGAAATCATGTTCATGGATGAGCTAATGTATTAAAGATTTATTAACATTGTAGTATGAAGCAGGGTGAGGCTGAAAGCCGTCGAAGTGAAACAAGGCCGCTGAAGTAATTGCTAATGAGAGACGAGTGTGACACATGGCTCGAAAGCAGCGGAGCTTTTATTATGCCACACTCGACCACTTCCGCTCCTTCCGGTCATGCTCATGTGGGGTAAAGCAGCGCTGTTTTATCATACTAGATACATTTGAAAGTTCTGTTATAATGCTACTCTGTACGGTCGTCACCTGTCTAATAAAACGCATAACATATTAAAGCGTCTTTGGTGTTTCCATGTTTTCTACAAAACAAAACCGGAAATCGAGGGTGTATGACGTCATTGGCAGGTGACACAATGACACTATGGACACGGTCCGTGTCACTAGTTAAAATTGCTTATTTCTCTAGATTTAAACATTCTTCGAAACATTTGGGATAATGTAAGTACACAAGTCACCAAAATATATAACACTGTTCTAGAGGTTTTTGGATATTTTAATAAGAAAATCTTACATATTGTGCCTTTAAGAACATTAATGGTATCTGCTACATTTGGTTCTGTTCTTTGTATTCTAGGGGGTTATTTCTGCTCTCCCTGCTCTAATCCATGCAATATAGGCTGCTTGGATGGGCAGGGAGTTTTTGCCCAGAACAGAGCCATACCACCAATCCAAACTGCTAATTGTCAATCGTCTTTGACAAAAGTGGTCCTGACAGAAATTCTGACTGCATGGGCAACTTTGCAAGTACTGTACATGTCAACTTATTCTCATAACCCACGCTCTAGTACTCAATGATGTAGCATATTCAAAAAGCCTCTCACTGGCAGCTATTAACAGAATGAATCAATGAACAAAGAATTTTTGTGAACCGACTCAAAAGATTTGAATCATTAAATGAATCTAATTCTTCACTGCTGCTGAATTGAATTGAATCTTTGCTGGTGCTCAGGCACATGTCTCTATTTAAAAATTTCTTATTAAAAAATATTTTTGTCTCACATTACCAGATACGATATTATTTGTTAGGTTTCTTGTTTCTCACCCTTCTCTCTGCCTGAGAACATTTAGGCCTTTCACAGTCAAATATGCATGGCCAGTATTAATTTCTGAATGAAGACAGACAGCTGGGCAGATCTGTAGATGACTCACTATACCATGGAAAATGTGAGCAAATCCCTGCAGTGTCTTTCCATCTGCTTTGGTCAAGAAATATGGGATCCTACTCTGGGCAGTGTGTATAAAACATATGATGGGGGTGGTGCATGCATTTGTCTACTTTAACAATTTTTAAGTAATTTTATTTTTATGTAATTTTAAGCATGAAGCATATATTTCAATTTTTATTTTATTTTTTTAAACAAATACTTTTTATTGAATGGATTAAATAGATTTATAACTTTGAATCTTCAGTCTTTTTGCTGTCCAGACAGTTGTCATCCCTTCTCTGAAGGCTGTGAAAGGTCTAACCACAAGCCACTGTGATATTCATCAACTATATATGTCTGGGAATGTTCTGGATATTTAAGATTGTCCTAGGTGTGGTTGAGGAAGGATGGCGGCTTCTCTTCAAGCCAAGTCTCTTCCCAGCTGCTCTCTTCACATCTGAGGTCCTGCCAGTGTAACCTCTTCACAGCAAGGAATATAAAACACATAACGTATACTTGCAATATCAAATTTCACTTTATAAAACATTGTAGAAAATAAAAAGTAGGCTACATCTTAAAGCTGGGCACCTTGGGTTCAGTGTTTGACAGTTAAAAATATGAGGGAGAACACACAGATTTCAAAACGTGACATTTTAAATACCTGCTTTTAAACATTTACGCCACAGACTACAGAATTTATTAGCAGGAAGCACAAAGTCTGACAGGTTTACACTCTGAGGATCTTAAACACGTCTCCTGTCCTTACCTCATCTCTCTGTTCCTCCTTCTGTACAGTACAGCGGGCGGCGCCTGCTCTATAGCAGTCATTAAAAGTTTTATGTAACATCCCACAATGCATCACGACTGTTATCGCAGTGCATTTTTTGGACACAAATGCATTTCCTGCTTGCGGTCCAGGCAAGTTGAAGTCTGTCATTTAAGAATGGAAAAGAAATAGAAAGAGGAAGTAAACAAACCCTGTAAACTGAGGCTCCTGGTATTTATTTTCACTGAGCTTCATTTCTTTCCTCAAATATGTTTTTTTATGTCCCTCATGCTTCAGCAAATGTGAGCTTTTTACATTTTCTGTATTATGCTTATATTTATCACACACAAAAGCTGAATGAAATATAGCAAATGTTCTGTTTTGGATGCTAGCATGAGATGCTCATGTGATGAAGTCTTAACCGGCTTCACACCATCTTCACCAGTTCCTTTTTTTTTTCTGGTGAATGATATAGATATGCTGGTCTGCCATCCAAACAATCGGCCTTCTAGGCTATTCTTAGGCTAACGGGAAGTTTCAATAATCTTTCTTGTGATTCTCAGCTTGTCAACATCAATCTTACACAGTGCTTGGGATCTACATATTTTTTTCAAAACACAGCGCTGATATTTTTAGGGTCAAAACTGACCAGAAAGGCCTGTAAACATAATTCAGTAGCAGATTTAAGTAATTAGGCCTGTCCTTCTGGAGTAGTGTACTGTTGGTTTTATGAGGGCTGCATTTGGTAACATCAAGTCATGTGGCTTTGGGCTTTTCTCTGTGGCTTCCCTGACGGCTCGCACAAAACGACATTTAAAACTCTTGTGAGAAAATCGATGGATCGGCATAAAACATACAGAACATAAAGCAGCATGCAGCATCTAGCATCAAATGAAAAATTGCTTCATCTTTCATATGAACTCTGAAAATTGGCCCTCCCTCAGGCTTTTGTGTAGGGTCATTACTGGCTGTATTATTTCAGCTGGCTTCACTGCATATATGAGATTTTGTGTGTGTTGGTCTCATCTGGTATAGTGACACGCAGTGAAGAGAAGTCGAGTGTGTCTTCAAACACAATGTGGTTGTAATTAGTAAAAATACTGGTGGGATAGTACTGAGATGACATTTTGCTGCCAAACACTTTGGTTTAAACTGCTCTTGCATCTTTCATGTGGCCTTTCCAATCTCTGCAACCACTAGAGAGTATGTAGAAGCTTTAGTGTCCACATATACTCTTTTTTTCATAGGGTTGGTCTCAACATCTGCTCAAATTGGCTCCGTATCAAAAACTTTGATCTGCCTCACTGTATACTGCCTACTTACTACTTTCCAAGGCAGCATACTAACTGAAACAGTGCCTTGTATATCACTCATTTGAGAAAGTCTACACAGGCAAAAAATCTGTGTCACACATTTAGCACTTATCATGCCATATGTATGCATGGCTTGACTCACAATTGACTCTTCGCAAAATCCCGCCCACCTTAGTTGCTACGTCCGACAAGCCATGGCGCTTTGACGCCACACATCATGTTCTCACGCAGTTAAAAATACATCGCGGAGCAAAGAGGAAACTGACATCGCACTGACAGACAAGACATAGCAGGATAGTCTCAACTTTCAAAGTCTCAACTTTCAAATTTTGTCACTTTTAAATAAATTCAAACAATAAATACCATTTTGTGGCTCTTTAATGTGTCGTGACAAATCAATGTAGCACCTCAGTTCAAGTGGCACATAAACATCTCTTCCTCATTAGTAGTTATAGCATGAAATAAACAAGAATGAACATCAGAAGGTGTCTTGTTTCAACGGTGCAAAGACATCAATACACACCATTTTTTCAAGTTTAAGTCGACCGAAGCTAATCTACTCTCCGGTCTGGTTTGTTTGTTGGACAAAAATGCCAGATTCTGCGTTATGATTGGTCAGATCACCTGTCAATCAAACTCTGCAAGATCAATTACTTTCAGAGCTTGGTGTTAGTTTGTTAAATTATTACCACAGTATACATATATCCAGGGTCCTTGTGGGTCCTTTAAAAGTGTAGTCAAAAAGTCTGATCAAATTGAAGGCCATTAAAAATCTGAAATATACATGTACGTCTTATCATTAACATTTAATATGGTCTTACATTTGGGGACTGAAAAGCAAGGATTGTGATAAGGTGTAATATGATTAGTAAACTTCAAAAGGCAATGACTGAATTAAATGAGTCACCCACATTAAAAGGTAACATACTCTGATACACGCTCAGGGTTTTGAAGCAGTTCATAATCAATGAATACCATGCATTTATGGCAAGTGGTTGCTTATGATCTACTGTTGATGGAAGTAGCAAGGCAAAGACATTTCAAAATAAGAGTCCTAGTGTATTTTAAGGTTATAATTTGAATATAATATAATGTAATTGATTATAATTAAAAGTCCCACAGTATGCAGTAAAACCATTTTTTCTAAACTGCATCTGGCAATTGATTTACCATAAACTCTTGAATTTTCTTGAATAACTAATATTAGCACAACGATCTTTCTCTAATTTGTATGTATTGATATATTAATAAATAAACCAGCTTTAATACATATGCACATGATGTATTTTGAGACTAAATGGGTTTGCTCTGTATGGACACATAGTATTAATTTTATTTGTGCAGGTCTATAAAAAGATCTTCAAAAAACGTACATTTGAATTTAAAAATTTTGCAGTTACTCTAATGTTAATTCAACATTAAAAAAAAGTGTAAAATATTAGCATGAGCCTCACAACGGGTTTATGCCGAGCTTCACAATGCACTTAGTTCTGTTGTGTGTAAATTTGTAAATCCTGGCTGTAAATGATTGTTTATAGTTAAAACGTTTAAAATGTTAGCATGTTTCTTACACACACATCGTTTCACATTGATTCATCTTTAGGGGTCAAATGAATTACTGTCTGGATGACTGTATGTGCTTTTTAAAGCATAAACATTTCAAAACCTATTAAGCTGCATTATGTGGACTCACAGAGATCGATTATTATAAGTTATTGTTCTAAATGATGAGAGGATTTTCACTTTAAGGCTGGAGTATCCCTTTAAAATACGGTCTGTAGGCAGTTCACTAGGTTTTGAAACCTATCCATTGAGTCATTATGTATATACTATGACAAAATGTGAAAATGTGCTATCAACGACACCTCAGCAGTGATGTGTTGAATTCCAGGAGGCGAATGTGAGAGTGTGTTTTGTATACCAGACTCACACATGCAGCAGTGTGTACGAACATATGCCTTAAACACCGGAGACTCATACATCACTGTCAAAGTGTACACACTGCATTATACGCTAGTTGCCTTGGGCGGGGCAACGTGCAACAAATCTGTTTCAAATCAAAATGAGACAAAAAAAAAGAATTTAATGATACTGAACCACAAAATATTGAATTACGGAATAGTTTCATAATAACCCGTTCCCTGAGGCCAGTAATAAAAATGATTGTAAACAAAACCAAACATTTCAATTCTATCCACTTCACTGTGTTCCTTCGCACAGATTTCAGGACTATGAGCAAAACGAGGGCATCACACAGAAACGTAACATTCTGGTAAAGGGAACCTGACCTCACAGACTCATCTACAGTATACAGTATATATGTAAGCAAACATCTTGACGTGCTTGTTATTGTTCCTGCATGCAATGCCCTTTTAGCTGCACCATAAGCAGGGTTAGATAAATTCCTTTCCGTCAGATGGGTTGAGTTAGGATCAAAGTTAGGATCCGTACCACTATCTCTCTTCTGCTCTAAATGGACCAAACATATGGGCATGAACCCATGAACAAATGCATGTCCTCTCTACAGCATATACTGAGCTAACCAGCACTGGCAGCCCATGTGTGTCTGACTCAGACCACATGATTCTCTTTAAAAATTGATACTTCTGACTGTAAATTCTTCAAGCACAGCTGAGCTTCAGTGTTTACCATAGATGATGTGCTCTATGTACATGTGTTGATCGGCGTTTATGTGTGGGAAAAAAGGTAAATTAAATCTGCTCATCATATAAAGTGATCATGTCTCTTCTGAAGACTTGGATTAAACTGCTTGATTCATATGAATTACTTTTACAAATTGTTTTTGTACTTTATGATGTGCGAACAGTTTGGCTGCATGGACTTTCTATGGTTGGAAGGACAAAAATGATAAGCAAATATCATCATTTGTTTTCTTAAGATGAACAAACGTCATGAGGGTAAGTAAATGATGGCATAATTTTCATTTTTGGGGTGAACAATCCTTTTAATAATAAATAATAACACTTAAAAAATATAGTAACAGTTGGGACTAATTCTCACTATTAACTAGTTGCTTATTAGCATGCCTATTGTTAACATATTAGCTGTTTATTAGAATTTATAAACACATATTCTGCATGACCATATTCTACATCCCTAATCCTACCCAATACCTAAACTTAACAACTACCTTACTAACTATTAGCAGCAAATTAGGAGTTTATTGAGGCAAAAGTTGTAGTTAATAGTTTGTTAATAGGGAGAATTGGACCTTAAAATGACAAAAAATGTCTTGAATTGGCAAGTGAAATTTTCTTTCCTGTGTTGATGTATTTCCTTTTGAAACTGGTAGTTTGGGTGGGACATATCAATGGATCCTTACTTTTAAATGTAGTTGTCTCACAGCCATCAATCATACTGGCTATTCTTATTTGACTGAACAAAAATCTGTGTAGTGCAACATGATTCATTACTATTTTTGAGTGTAAAATTTAAATGTGTTCATCTGCTGAAGATTACTGTCAACTTTTATAAGTAGTATACAGCACATGTTTTCAGAGTTAATAGACTTACTGTAGGCCTAGCAAAAAGCAACCACATAGCAATATGACAGAAAACCTAACAGCAACCACCCACAAAACTATTTAATTTTACTTCAGAAAATATAAAAATCTTGATGAGTTACGACTGGCTACCAGAAATCGCTTACTCTGCCTTTAATCTAGGTTAAACTGTTTCCTTTTTCAGTAGTAGGCCTATATCATGTAGCTTTGTTCTGTCCTGTATATTATACTCACAGTGGGTTTATGGTCTATGAAGCTCCACATGCAGATATGTAGCAGATTGAGGGGATTAAAAGCATATTAGATTATGACCTCATTTCACAGAGAACAAAAAACTGCTTTTACTGTCAGATTGACTTAGGTGTAGCGCTCCTCTATGACCATCTGTTGTTTATTTATGTTTAGGTTCATTTTATTTTCAGAACGATGTCTCAAATCATATAAATTCTCCTAAGAGAAATGCAGTGCTTTGCAACATATTCACTGTCCTTTTCATCTCTTCTTTTCTGAAGAACAAACACAACCTATTAACCATTCACTGCCAAAAAAATAAAGGTTCTTTAATGGTAACTACTGTGTGGTTCTGTAAAGAATCTTTAACATGATTTTTAAAATGTTTTTAAAATGTTCTTCAGACTAAGGAAAAAAAACAAAAAATTCTGTTCACTGAAAGTTTCTTTGGAGAACCAAATCTGGTTCTTCTAATCTGGCATTGCTGCGAAAACCCTTTTTGGAACCTTGACTGACATCACGAGAAAAACGTGGATACTGAGGCCTATGTATGCTAAGGATTATGGGATAAGCTTATCTACTCTGGCATTGGCAGCATCAAAAGCTGTCTGCTCTATCAGTGTGACACACGATTGTTTTACATAAGCCCAATTATGGTGGAAATTAATTAAATTTTCGATTGTGTCCATTAACAATGGGTAATTTTCTTCACCAAGGTTCTCATTTAATTTTAGCACACATTTACTTGATTACTGTACTTTGCAGCATTTGACATGATTGTGCTAACCCTCCTCGTTCTTTCCCCTCCTTTACGCTCTTTCACGCCACATTGCGCAGGAATATTTCTGACAGATGTTCTGTGTTTGAGCATGGCAGAGGCGATGTGCAACAATGCTGTTCCCCACCGTCTCCACAAAACAATCATTGCGGCTACATCTGCCTACCTCTGTCTCTCTCGCTTTCTCTACTCCTCCATGTCAGTTCTTGTTTGAATTCCTCTAATGAAGCTCCGTGCTCCTACAGTGAATCTGGAACACTACTTATTGGAAAGAGCCCAGGTCAGAATTCATTATTTGGACAGGATCTTGTTACAGAAATCAGACCCATTTTAGAGTGCCCTCCTATGCAAAAGCCTTATAGGCTCTTTGCCATGTGCACATTGGTCAAAGTGTTTGATGTATCGCAATGTATTTAACCTCTGTATGACCAGTGGGGGGCAGAAAAATTGTTCTTACAATATTAAAAATAAACATTCAAATAACAATATTTTGAGTGGAAATAAATTAGTATAATGTTGTGAGAAACGTTCCAGGAACTTTTAAATGACTTTCTAATCACAACAAGAAAACCAGTCATTTTAAATGTTCTTAGAATATTAAAAATAAACATTAAAATAATGTTTAATTTGGGGTGAAAATAAGAAGAAAAAAAGAAAAAAAACCTGGGCATGTCAGTGTTTTAGAAACATTTCAAAATGTTCCCACAACTTTTTTACAACCTGGGTATTTCTAAAGGGCTAGTTCACCCAAAAATGAAAATTCTGTCATTAATTACTCACCCTCATGTGGTTCCAAACCCGTAAGACCTTCGTTCGTCTTCGGAACAAAACTTAAGATGTTTTTGATGAAATCCAAGAGCTTTCTGACCCTCCATAGACAGCAACACAACCACCACGTTCAAGGCCCAGAAAGTAGTAAGGACATCGTTAAAATAGTCCATGTGACATCAGTGCTTTAACCGTCATGTTATGAAGCTACGAGAATACTTTTTGTGCCCATAGAAAACCTGTCTATGGAGGGTCAGAGAGCTCTCGGATTTAATCAAAAATATCTTAATTTGTGTTCCGAAGATGAACGAAGGTCTTACGGGTTTGAAACGACATGAGGGTGAGTAATTAATGACAGAATTTTCATTTTTGGGTGAACTACCCCTTTAAGGATGATAAAAACATGAAGTTCATGAAATATATAATCTGCAAGTACAGTTTTTCAAAAATATACTTTGAAGATTTGAAGTACACTGCGAGTGCATTCAATACTTTTTTTTTTTTTTTTCACAAAGGTATTCCTTTAATACAGAGTGGAGCTTTCTGGAAAGCTGATGGGTGTTAATGCAATGAGGAGGTTTTCATGAGATGTCAAAGATTCGACCTGATGGCAAACACTCTGTTTCCATGGTTGCATGTGGTCTTTGCAGGTCCTCTGATCTTTGAAGGCTGGTTTCAAAGCAGAGCTGCGGGTTTCAACCAGCCGC